GACCTCAGGTGATCCACCCACCTTGGCCTCCCAAAGTGTTGGGATTACAGGCGTGAGCCACTGTGCCTAGCCTTCAATTTCTTTAAAGTGAGATTATAGCACACTTTTAATACTACCTATATTATAACATTGAAGATAAGATTAATTTAAAACATCTTGTAGTAACCTTGATAAGAATCAAGAACTCTTAAAAAACTAATAGGGGAACATGAATAATAAATTCACAGAAATTTCCTCAATTTTCTGTCTCTTTTCCCTAATTGTATTCTTTCTCAAGAGTACTATGAAAATGGGCCAGTCATGGTGACTTACATCTATAATCCCAGCACTTTGGGAGGCCGCGGCAGGCGGATCATGAGGTCAGGAGTTTGAGACCAACCTGACCAACATGGTGAACCCCATCTAGAGTACTAGGAAAATGGGTCCAATTTGTTATCAGCACAACATTCTATCACTGAAGTCTTCTGTTTATTGGAGATTAGTAGTCTAATCAATTTACCGCCATGGATTTTACTCAATTAATGAAAACTGAGTACAGGTAAAATTCCATGGCAATGAAACTCATTTTAACTGTATACTGTATAAATAAAAAGTTCTCAAACTTGGCTGCTGGTTGGATGTGTTGTCCTATGCTGTTGTCATTACGGTAAACTTCAGTTTAAATAAAATCAAGTGGTCACTTTTTTCCAGTTCATTGCAATAGCTATATGTCATAATAACTTGATATTAATAATTCATGTTACCTTATACAAAAAATTGCTGTGTGGCACAAAGTAGCTCATTATCATGCATAGTTAAAGGCTTGATAACAATGAATTAATGTAAATTATTCCAGCTTTTTGAAAACTTAAGATTCTAAATAGTAAATTAAAAAAACAGAGCAGGCACAGTGGCTCATGCCTGTAAACCCAGCACTTTGGGAGACCAAGGCAGGCAGATCACCTGAGGTCAGGAGTTCAAGACCAGCCTGACCTAGATGGAGAAACCCTGTCTCTACTAAAAATTCAAGACTGGCTGTGCATGGTGGTGCATGCCTGTAGTCCCAGCTACCGTGAGGCTAAGGCAGGAGAATTGCTTGAATCCAGGAGGCAGAGGTTGCAGTGAGCCGAGATTTTAAAACATTCCAGCCTGGGCAACAAGAGCAAAACTCGGTCTCAAAAATAATAATAATAATAAAAAATAAAAACAGTAAACCAGATGAAATTATCCGATACTCCCATGGATTAATAATGGCTAAGTGCTATTGAGTAGGTAATAACTCTTTGCAGGTGTTATACATGGTGATTGGTATGTTTCAGTGAATTCACCACCACTTCCCAATACTCCAAAGATGTAGGCATTATTATTATTCAATTTTTTATGGAAGTGAAGAAATTGATATTTGCAGGATTTAAACTCAGACAGTATGAGTCAATAGCCCAAGCTCTTAACCACTATCCTATGCTTTTGTTTAAGACCGTGTCTCACTTTGTCACCCAGGCTGGAGATCTCGGCTCACTGAAGCCTCCTTGGCCTCCCAAGTTCAAGCGATCCTCCTGCCTCAGCCCCGCAAGTAGCTGGGACTACAAGTGCATGCCATCACACCCGGCTAATTTTTGTACTTTTCTGTAGAGACAGGGTTTTGCCATGTTACCCAGGTTGGTCTCAAACTCCTGGGCTCAAGCAATCCACCCCTCTCGGCCTCCCCAAGTGCTAGGATTACAGGCGAAAGCAACTGCGCCCAACCCATCCTATGCTTTTAAAACAAATCCCTAACAGTTTTGTTTTTTTTTTCTTTTTTTTTTTTAAGAGATGGGGCCTTGCTCTGTTGCCAGGCTGGACTCAGACTCCTGAGTAGCAGGGACTACAAGTGTTGTCATCACATTAGGATCAAATTCAGAGTTTTGAAATAGAAATATTTTCATTACAATTTTATCCTCATTTGCTTGTCTTTGCTGTTTTGGTTTCTGACTATTATGGGTTGAATTATTCCTCCCTCTGCCCTGCTCCCCAAAAAGATACATTGAGGTCCTAAAGCCCATCGCTGTGCATGTGACTTTATTTGCAAATATGCACACTTGCAGATGTAATCAGGAGAAGATGAGGTCATACAGGATTAGGGTGGACCTTAAATCCAGTGATTGGTGTCCTTCTAAGGAGAGGGAGAATTGGAGACACAGTCACATAGGAGTAGGACCGCCATGTGAAAACGGAGGCAAATTGAGGTTATGCTGATGCCAGCTAAGGAACACCTAGGGCCACCAGAAGCTGCAAGAGGCAAGGAAGCATTCTGTCCTGCAACCTCCGGAGGGAGCATGGCCCGACTGACACCTTGATTTCAGACTCCCTCCCTCCAGAACTGTTAAAGAATAATTTTTTTCCCCAAAACCATCCAATTGGTGGTCCTTTTTATGGCAGCCATGGGATCTAATACAATGACTTCCTGGGCTGCGACCCAGATGAACCCAGAGCCCACAAGACCTTGACTTTTGTATCCCTAGAGAGATGGCAATCAAATGAACCTGAACACATTGAGTTCATAATTTGGTCTGGGTTCTCGGTTTATTTTGATGATTAGTTTTGGAGTGAGATCATTGTGAATCATAAAAAACATAATAATGAGACTGTCTTCAAGTTTCTAGAACAAGGTAGAATCTTAAAAAAAAAATACAGCAGGCTTTTGAATTGAATGCAATGATGGTGACAGTAGGTTTTTAGGGGAGGGTGGCAGAGTGATCATCTGCAAAGGCTGGGCACTGACCAATGGGATGGGAGTGGGGCCCTGGAGATACTCCTGCCCAACCTGGGAGGCAGCCCTTGGGCCGACAGCAGACTGGTGCAGTGTTTTAAACTCTGGTGTGGCTCCCGATGGGTGCTTGATGCTGGCACATGGACGGGAGACTAGGCAGTCAGTCTAGAAATACTGGGGTTTGTTTCAGAGGGGGAAAGAGGGTTTCAGGGAGAAACAAGAAGATTGCTACACATTAAGTATCCTAAAGTTCAGACAGACCTGGGGTGGTGGCGCATGTCTGTAATCCCAGCATTTTGGGATGTTTTGGGATGTCGAGGCGAGAGATCCCTCGAGGCTGCAATGAGCTCTGATCACAACTGCACTCTAGCTTGGGTGACAGAGCGAGGCCTTGTCTCTAAAAAAAAAAAAAAAGTTCTGGGTCCTCAGGTCTAGGGCAGACCCCACAGCTTGGTGGAGGAAGAGCAGAGGGAAACCCTTGGCTTCTTCCCAGGGCACAGTCCCCAGGGCCACTTTGAAGATTCCCATGAGGGCAGAGGCACTTTGGCCACCTGGGATTACATAAGCATCAACAACCCAGATGAAAAATATGGGCACTAGGCCGGGTGTGGTAGCTCACATCTGTAATCTCAGCACTTTAGGAGGCTGAGGTGGGTGGATCACCTGAGAGACCAGCCTGGCCAACATGGTGAAGCCCCATCTCTACTAAAAATACAAAAAATTAGCTGGGTGTGGAGGTGGACGCCTGTAATCCCAGCTAGTTGGGAGGCTGAGGCAGGAGAACTGCTTGAACCTGGGAGATGGAGGTTGCAGTGAGCTGAGATCACGCCACTGCACTCCAGCCTGAGCAACAAGAGTGAAACTCCATCCCCCCTCCAAAAAAAAAAAAAAAAAGACAAATATGAACCTGAAGGAGAGGAAGGAGGTATGTATGGGTGGTTCTCAGGTTACAAATCCTGTTTACTAGGAAAAAGCTGGTGCAACACACAAGAATGAAGTAACAGCAAGTATTTAGAAAATGCTTAGAGCCCACTAGGCACTGCTCTAAGCACTGGGTATGTAGCTACTACCTTCCTCCCTCACAACAAGCCTGGGGGGCATGGTAATATTTCCATTTTGCAGATGAGGAAGTTAAGGCACAGAAATGCTAATTCATTGGTCAAGATGGTACAGCTAGGAAAAAGCACGGCCCGGAGTTACATCCAGCCCTTTGACTCCAGGCTGGTTTTCTTCATTCTTGTGCTATACTGCGTTACTCAGTGGTATGTGGTGCAATGTTCAAGGAGTGTGTGCATGCATCATGAGTTTGGTATAATTACCAATTGCATTTTACAGATGAGGAAATGGAGGCTCAAGGAGTTTTAGTGACTTGCCCAAGGTTGAAGGGTTAGAGAATAGCAAATGTGGGACTCAAGTTCAAGTCCTGCAATCTCAACTTCCTGGCTCCTTCTATTACACTGCCGTGGCTGCTGAGCAGAGGACTGGGCTTGTGTGGAGGTGGTACTCTTGAACGTGTTGAATCTGAAATCACAGTAAAATGGCTAAGTAGGCAAAAGTGCAGGAAAAAAAGAAAAGTGAGCTTTCTGAGATGCATTAGCCTAGGAGAAACCTAAAGGTTGAGTGGAAGTGGTGGGAGAGGGGGAGGAGGGTGAGACTGAAACTCGTGGTTCATTGTCATGGGAAGGAACCCCGAAGACAGAAGGGCCTCTTGGTTCCAGTACCATAGAGAAGTCTGGGAGGTCCAAGGTAGGGGCAAGACCTGGTGTTGGCCAGGAGTAGCTCATCTCAGCAGGAGGCAGAGAGCAGAGACAGACTCCAGGCAGCAGTGGAGCAGTGCCAACTCACAGGCAGTAAGCTTGGATTGCTCTTCAAATCCTGATTGTGGCCTGGTGTGGTGGCTCACACCAGTAATCCCAGCACTTTGGAAGGCCAAGGCGGGTGGATCACGAGGTTAAGAGTTCGAGACCAGCTTGGCCAAAATGGTAAAACCCCATCTCTATTAAAATACAAAAATTAGCCAGACGTGGTGGTGGGCACCTGTAGTCCCAGCTTCTCGGGAGGCTGAGGCAGAAGAATCACTTGAACCCAGGAGGCAGAGGTTGCAGTGAGTCGAGATCACACCACTGCATTCCAGCCTGGGTAACAGGGCAAGACTCCATGTTAAAAAA